GATTAAGTTTCAGAACGTGTATCAATAAATCATTGTTATCTCATAAAACGTCTTACAATCAAAATTATTTATTTTAGATGTGAATAACTTAAAAAGTTTGATAAAACGTAAAAAAACAATCAATCACAAGTGAGTGAAATTTATGACGTTTATACATATTCTGAAAGGTGACATTCCAAAGTGTTTTTCTATATGATACATGCGAGGATTGTTATTTTTAACTATTTGTTCGTTAAACATGAAATTAGAAGAAAATGAGATGTATTTGATGCTTTTTTTTATTTCCGGAAGGGAAAGAACGTTGTAGAAACGGCAAAGAAGACGTTTGCCGTTTATGGTGATGGTGCCATAGCTGAGAGTATTTTTCCTCGGCAGTTTTCTCAGTTCACAAGTGGACATTTTGATCAGTAAGATCGAGAACGTTCAGACAAAACTGCTGTCATTGTTGATGACCAAATCGAAACATTCATTAAAACGAATCTTGATCACACAACATTGAACGTCCCAGAAATACTCTACATATTTCAAATGAGCATCGTAAGGTATTTGAAAGCATTTAGAGACAATATTTAAGTGCCTAACGATTCAACGGAAAAAAATTAATGGACTGCATTTTTACCTGCAATTATCTGCTCAAACGCGACAAAAACAAATACATTTTTGAAAAGAATGTTTACATATGATGAGAAATGGATTGTTTACAACAATGTGAACCAGAAAAGGTCTAAGAGCATCCTTTTAATTACTGCAAAAAGCCGGTCTGCAACCGAAGAAATTGATGCCGTGTATTGGAAGGCCTCCTTTCATAAAATCAGACATTGAAGTCAGAAAAGTACAGTTCATAATTGGGCCTAATAAAGACAACAATCGATGAAAAGTGCCGGAAATTGGCCAATCAGAATGGGTCCGTTTTCCATCAGGACAATACCAGATCTCACATCTGTTTATAGACCTGACAGAAATTGATACAGTTTGGCTGGTATGTTGTGCTATGTCGGCTGTACTCATTTGACCTTGTACCTTCAGATTACCACTTACTTTCGATCCTTACAAAATTCTCCTAATCGGGAGGACCTCGATTCTCTGAAAACCCGTAAAAACCACACCAACCAGTTAATCGCCGAGAAAGATACCAAATTTCGAGAGGATGGTATAATGAAGCTACCTCAAAGATGACGATAGGTAGTGAACAAAATTTGGTTGAATAAATGTTTGTACAAATATCTAATCTTGGCGTGCTTGTGTTGAAATACATTTAATCCGTAAGATCATTTTAGTCACGTGATCACTACCCCACTACCATAGCACGTGAACGCAGATTCATTTCCGTCCCGGAACATTGACATGATTGCCTGAGAGATTGCATTTAAGCAATGTTCATTTTAATAATTTATATTTACATACGCTATTTCCCTGATATTCAGCTCTTTAACCCATGAATATAGCATACCATAAATGTATATTTTTATCATACATATATATATATATATATATATATATATATATATGAAGGTCTGAATTGTGTTGACGAATGAAACAGTCTGTGGCTTCTTGTCCACTTTAATATCTATATTTACATTCACTTTATCGCCGATAGTGAGCACTTTCACACATAAATACAACATAGCATAAAACTATATTTTTATCATATACAGAGTGTAATGCGTAAATTGTTGCATTTTATATATTTAATTTCGCGTATGAGCATTGTTTGTTTTTTATTTTGTTGACTGCACAGTATGGTAGGGTCAGGCAGTGAAAAAAGAGCACCATGACGCAATTCACACTTCCAGAATTTTGGAAATGGCAAGCTGTAATGCCTGGCATTCGTGTCGGAAATTCCAATACGAACATTTCAGAGAGTTTGGGTGTTTGATAGTGCAGAGGATTCGCAATGGGCTGGATGAGTCTAATGATAATTTCGAAGGTGTTTGGGGATTATCACTGGTGATGGCAACGTTATGCCTTTATTCACCTTCTCACAAGGCCTAAGATTCAACACGGATTACCTTAAAAAGATAGTGCTGCCCTGGGTCAATAGGGTAGCTGCTGGAAAACCCTATGTCTGACAACAAGATTCTGCACCATGTCACACAAGCAGGAGAAACCAATTATGGCTGTCAGACAATTTCAGTGATCACATCACCCTATACATTTGGCCACGTAGCTTCCAAGACTGCAACCCCCTTGATTACTATGTGTGCGGCGCAGTTGAGCGAAAGGCCAACAAAACTCCATGTAACACCAAAGATGAACTGAAGACAAGGATCATAGTAGCATTCACGAACTTAAACCAGGAGTTCGTCCAGAATAGTTGCAGGAGATTGCGAAGTCGTCTAGAGGCCGTGGTTGAAGCCAATGGCGATTTTATTGAATAAATTTACTTTTTAATACTTCAAGATATTTTTGTGTAATTTTGGTAAATATATCTGTTAAAATGAGATGTCAGTGTTATTCTTTATTTTTGCGTCATTTATATGACAATTTATATATCGCACCTGTCATATATATATATATTTGTGCATGTGTGTGTGTGTGTGTGTGTGTGTGTGTGTGTGTCACCTTCTCATTTTAACCTTCCGAGCGATAGATAAAAATTATTTCCCAATCTGATGTCGTCAACGAAAATACCTTTGTTTGTCTAAATTCTCAAACAAAAACAAAACTGTTTTTACCCATGGCCGAACGTCGTCTCAGCGGAAATAAAAACCAGATCACATACTTGGTATGACATAATTGACCTTCATAACTTCAAACCCAAGAAAAAGGTTTCGTTCTCTGTTTTCATTTCTAAATTTGTTTTCGCTAATGAAAATGTACGCGTTTTCCTAATTCCTCAATAAAAAGATAAAGCTATTTCTCCCAATCTGTTTTCGTCTGCATGCCAGACTCTTGATAGATAAGAAAAATAAACTTTAGGTGAGAAGAAATCCAGGCAGTCCCATGTTTCCGTTCTCTCTTTTTCTCTTTCTATCTTTCAGTTTATATTTCATTTTTGGATCAATTCTTTTTTTTGCTTAGAATTAATGTTTAACCACCTCACCTCTCCGTGTCACAGAATGAATAAACGATCCGTAGTAGAAACCCAAGTATTTTTTATGCTTTTTCTTTGTTTATCATATCTGAACATGCACATACCTAAAATACATATAAATACGTAAATTTTAAAAACTATAAATTATTTATTTATTGATATTAAAACGCCATTATTAATAACATTTCAAACGTGAACAGAAAGAATAAAACATTTCTGAAACATACTTCAATTTTATAAGACAGACATTTAAAAAAAATTATAAATATTATTGCATGACTATTTTAGTTTACAATATAGTTAAATAAATAAAACTAAAAGATTGACACAAAACAGTATTTTCATTTTCACTTTTAAACCTTTTTTGAAAGTATTACTTTTACTCCAGTATAGTCTTGTCAGAATTACCTCCACTTCGTCTGCCAAGACGTTTACTTGGTAGCGCTGTTCCAGGACTATAAAAGAAAAGGAATAAACCCTTTCATTCCTTTTCTACTCTGGATATAGTAACGACAAAACAGTGCTTGTCTCCTCTGGGGAAACTTCTTAGACTTCTGCAAACCAGACTTTTCTTTTTATGCGCTGTTTCCTTTCAGGACGTAGGCAATCATGGTTCTCCACTTCACCCTATCTCTTGTTGCTCTCAATAAGCCTTGTCCTTCTGCCACCTCTCCCAGACCACGTTCTGTCATCCACTTGTTTAAGCCCGCCATATATGTCATGCGTTGCTTTCCTTTGTCTCTCTTTCCTTCTATTCGACCTGTGAGTATCAGATTTTCCAATCCCTCCTTTCTCATTACGTGTCCCAGAAACTTCAGCTACATCTTCCTGGTGTTAAGTATGACTCCTCCTCTCTAAGTACTCATCGTTGCTCACACTCATCGTTGCTCACACGATCGGTCCATGATATCCTCAGCATCTTTCTGTAGAACCACATCTCTGTCGCTTCGAGTCTCTTATTCATCTTTGATGAGGCCGTCCAAAATTCGTTGTAGTTATAGAATCGTCAATGTTTGTCTACTCACCTTCGTTAAAAGTAGACTCTTCTATAAGAATTAGCTTTGACCAATCAACACCACACATTGTGAAACTCGGCTTGTGATTGGTCGAGACGACCCTAGAATGTTTATCCATGGTCAAAAATCTGTTTTCCCGCCAAGACACTGGGAGCCTACTTTGGTTTCCCAAACTAAATAAAAGGACGAAATTCAGTCCAATTCACCAGTCAGGACTCCACACTCGGAGAGATGCCAACCAATTCCACGCCAATTTAAACTTTGACTTTCCCGCGCGAATTAACCTCTGACTCAACAACCTAATGGTTTATTCAATCTCTCTATCAAACAAACTTCTCAAAAATTCATTTACTTTACTTGAGAAAGTGGAATATATATTCACTACATAATTAGTAACAGTAACAAACAAAACTTTCAACAATTAACAGTTCAAGGTACGCAACTTCGTACAACTTAAGAATATTTACAATAACACTCGTATACACACATTAACAGTTAAACTGTAAAATCAAACACTTTTGTACGTTGAACAGCAAACTGTTTAATTCTTACCATAAATCGTCAAAACATTGATTTAAGCACTCAAACATACTCTACAACAAACTACATGTCTTATTACACCAATATACAACAAATCACCAACTCATTTGTATATATTTAATTTGTATATAAATTAATGTTATTGTTATGCATTCAACTTTTGTCTTGTTTTTCCAACTTTATTTGTATGATTTGTTCTAAGTAATTGTTGTGGACGAATGTTTTAGAACACATCCTCGAAATTCCTTCTGATTAATAAAAACACAATCACCAGTCCGCAACAAGATGACCCCCGACTTTCGTCGTTTGACGTTGCCAACAAATTGGTAACCACCGACATCTGTACCAACAAAATTGCTATCTCCGACTTCTGAATAAGGCTACAACCATAACTGAAAACCTCAGTCGACATGGCAGATCCTATACAGCCAACCGAAGCTGCAGTCAGGATGGAACTCCCTACCTACAACATGAATGCACAAACACGGTTCATACAACTCGACGCGATTTTCCAAGCCAGGCATGTGACGTCCCAGCAGTCGAAATTCGCATTTGTGGTGGAGAAGCTTCCCGCTGAAATTGCTGCGGAGGTAGCGGATGTCCTTATTAATCTCCCGCCCGAAAAGCCGTATGAGTTGCTCCGGCAGGCAATCTTACCACGAACAGGCTGCTCCGAGGAGCGAAAGATTAAGGATCTTCTGACGAATGTCACACTCTGGGACAGCAAACCCTCCCAACTTCTTCGGAGAATGATAACGCTACTCGGTAACAATACTATATCCGAAACAGTATTGAAGCAAATGTGGCTGGAGAAATTGTAGCCTGATATCGTACAAATATTAGCAGTCCTAACTGAGGTCGATGTTCACAAATTAGCATCGATCGCTGATAAAATAGTAGACACGAGACCAATTCGCCAAATTTCCTCTGTCGTGCCATCAGATGACCCGACCCCGGATGTTAACCAGCAACTTCATGTTTTGACGGCCGAGCTAAAGAAGCTATCATTACGCCTCGACAGTATTCAAAGTATTCCTGGACGAAGTCGCAGTTATTCAACTAACAGACACAATACCAGTAGGCGGCGATCAACGTCGAGACAAACTCGTCACCATCAAAGAGGCTATTGCTGGTACCATGAAGTGTTTGGTCCCCGCGCAAGGAAATGTCAGTCACCATGTGCTTATAAAAACGCGGGAAACGCCGAACCTGGCAGCCATTAAAGGCGTTGGCCGCTAGGGCAGATAATGGAAATCGCCTATTCTACGTATTCGACAACAACAGCAAGTTAAAATTCCTAGTTGACACTGGCGCTCAAATCAGCGTTATACCGCTGAACTACTGTAACAAGTTATCAATAATACCCAGACAAGCCCAGCTAAAGTTACAGGCCGCAAACGGCACATCCATAAACACGGATGGCGAGCGTATCATGTCTCTAAGTATCGGCCTACGGAGGGAGTATACATGGACCTTCACTATAGCCGATGTCGAGATACCTATTATAGGAGCGGATTTCTTCGCACACTTCAACTTGTCCGTCGAACTGTCAACTCGTACGCTTACCGATATGTGCACAGATATACGACGACGAGGATTTTTTATCCAAGCTTTCCACGATTGGACTAACTACTTTTTAATACCTAGTGCAAATGGTTGCGAAGATTTGATTAAGCAGTACAAATCTCTTTTATCATCATTCACTCATACAGAACCCATAAAGCACAACACGACACATACAATTAAGACAACTGGACCCCCAGTCCACGTTTCACCCCGTCGTTTACACCCAACTAAATTACGGGTGGCTAAGGAAGAATTCGATAATATGCTCAAGATGGGCATAATAAGACCATCTTCCAGTCCTTATGCCACACCGTTACACATGGTCCCTAAGAGCGAACCTGATAGCTGGCGACCGTGTGGAGATTACAGACTCCTAAACGCTCAAACTGTGCCAGACAAATATCCAATTCCTCATATTAAGGACTTTGCTTTGTCCCTTGAAGGCGCTACTGTTTTCACCAAACTAGACCGACGGAAAGCTTTTTACCAGATCCCTATCGAACCGTCTGATGTTCATAAAACAGCGATTACGACACCGTTCGGTTTGTACGAATTTACCCGAATGCCGTTCGGACTCCGTAATGCTGCGCAATCTTTTCAGCGCCTTATCGATGAGGTTCTCCGCGGATTATCTTATGCATATGCGTACATTGACGACGTACTAATAGCAAGTAAAACGCCCGAGGAACATCGTAACCATCTACAGTCAGTATTTGAGCGGTTACAACATTACGGACTAAAGCTGAACGTCGATAAATGCTTATTCGCTGTCCCCAAATTAACTTTCCTTGGCCACGTCATTGATAAGAATGGGTTAACTCCCCTAGACGAAAAGGTCAAGGCGATTAATGATTTCCACCACCGTCAACATTACGACAGCTACGGCGATTCATAGGCATGATTAATTATTATCGCCGATTTATACGCGACTGTGCTATTCTACTTCTTCCACTGACAAATCTCCTTTCTAAACACAAACAAAAAAACCCGAAGATTGTATTATCTGTGGACGAGATGGATTCCTTTCATAGAGCGAAGCAAGCGTTGCAGGACTGTACCAAACTTGCGTATATTACATCTGCACCCGACGCAAAACTGACGCTAACTACCGATGCGTCGTCGGATACAGTTGGTGCAGTACTTCATCAGATAGCCAACGGTGTGGAAAGACCACTGTCCTTTTTCTCAATTAAGCTAAATACGACCCAACGGAAGTATAGTACCTTTAGCCGTGAACTGTTAGCAATTTATTTAGCCATCAGACACTACCGGCACATTCTAGAAGGTCGTGATTTTTCCATTTTACAGACCATAAGCCGCCAACATACGCCCTACATGCTAAGTCTGATAAACACAATCCGCGTGATATACGCTACATGGACTACATATCACAATTCTCATCGGATATACGCTACATTAGTGGAGCTAGTAACACCGTGGCCGATACTCTGTCTCGAACAACTCTCAGCGCAGTACAGAGTACCGCACTGAACTTTGATAATCTAGCTGACGAGCAAGCCAAAGATGAAACCCTGCAAGCTATCCACTCAGACACTTCTTTGAAAATTGAGAAAAGACCGCTCCCGTTTACGAGCAGGTCAGTTTTTATTGTGACACCAGCACGGGTAACCCGCGTCCGTACATTCCACCAAGTATGCGCCGTCTAATTTTCGAACATTTTCATTCACAAGCACACCCAGGAGGCAAGGCGACGTTGCGGACCGGTATGGCAGCTGACATTAAGCAGTGGTCCCGCACGTGTTTACGTTGCCAAGCCACCAAAGTTGGCAGACACACGAGGGCACCTACATCAACCTTCGCCAACCCAGACGGTCGTTTCACCCATCTGCATGCTGATTTAGTGGGTCCACTTGAAAATGTGAACGGATTTGAATACGTTTTAACTGTAATCGATCGATTTACGCGATGGCCAGTCGCCATCCCTCTGCAATCAACTACAGCTGAAACAGTGGCAAGTGCTCTTTTTAACAACTGGATTACAACTTTCGGATGCCCTTCAGTGATAACTACCGATAGAGGTCCACAGTTTCAATCAGCACTTTTTAATGAGTTCACTAATTTATTAGGGATTAAACACATTTCCACTACAGCATATCACCCTTGTTCCAATGGCCTTGTGGAAAGATTTCATCGACAGCTTAAATACGCTATAACTGCTTCTACCAACGGCCGAACTTGGGTTGATAAACTTCCCCTGATCATGCTGGCTTTGAGAAACACTGTGAAGCAGGACCTGAACTGTACTAGTGCTGACTTGGTTTTCGGGACTCCCCTAACCTTGCCAGGACAGATTTTCGGCCCTGTATCGGACAACCTACCTACTAGCCAGTTTGTTAGCGACCTCCGACAAAAAATGTCTGAAACAATTTATACGCCGACCAGAGCTTTTCACAGGCCTTATTACATTCCAACTGATCTGCATACAGCCAATTTCGTCTTTCTACGCCGAGATATGGTCCGTAAACCACTAACGCCTAACTACACTGGACCGCACCAGGTTATTTCTCGAGCGCCAAAATATTTCGTTATAGATCTCGCCGGCAAGCAAACTACAGTCAGCATTGGCCGCTTAAAACCAGCTTACATCAACAATGACGACAAAGCTGTGACCACTCAGCAAACTCCAGTTTCAGAGACTTTACGCAAACACCCATCTTCTACGCCTGAACCGCAAATTAAGCCACCTACACGGACCAGGTCCGGCAGGCGCGTTCACTGGCCAGCAAAGTATACTACATTTTATACATATTAATGTCCAAACTACGCTGACCATTAATCTGGAAGGGGTATTTATAGAATCGTCAATGTTTGTCTACTCACCTTCGTTAAAAGTAGACTCTTCTATAAGAATTAGCTTTGACCAATCAACACCACACATTGTGAAACTCGGCTTGTGATTGGTCGAGACGATCCTAGAATGTTTATCCATGGTCAAAAATCTGTTTTCCCGCCAGGACACTGGGAGCCTACTTTGGTTTCCCAAACTAAATAAAAGGACGAAATTCAGTCCAATTCACCAGTCAGGACTCCACACTCGGAGAGATGCCAACCAATTCCACGCCAATTTAAACTTTGACTTTCCCGCGCGAATTAACCTCTGACTCAACAACCTAATGGTTTATTCAATCTCTCTATCAAACAAACTTCTCAAAAATTCATTTACTTTACTTGAGAAAGTGGAATATATATTCACTACATAATTAGTAACAGTAACAAACAAAACTTTCAACAATTAACAGTTCAAGGTACGCAACTTCGTACAACTTAAGAATATTTACAATAACACTCGTATACACACATTAACAGTTGAACTGTAAAATCAAACACTTTTGTACGTTGAACAGCAAACTGTTTAATTCTTACCATAAATTGTCAAAACATTGATTTAAGCACTCAAACATACTCTACAACAAACTACATGTCTTATTACACCAATATACAACAAATCACCAACTCATTTGTATATATTTAATTTGTATATAAATTAATGTTATTGTTATGCATTCAACTTTTGTCTTGTTTTTCCAACTTTATTTGCATGATTTGTTCTAAGTAATTGTTGTGGACGAATGTTTTAGAACACATCCTCGAAATTCCTTCTGATTAATAAAAACACAATCACCAGTCCGCAACATAGTAAAGGAGGACAGATGTCACGTAACAATTCAATACTTTTTTCTTTGTTAACAAAGAAATCCTCCTGTCTCGCAATATTCTGCCCAGCTTTTGGAATGCGTCGTTGGTCATCCTAATACATCTACGGATCTCAGTGTCGCACATACCGTCCTGCTATTAATACCAAGACATATCACGGCAAACCAGACTACTTAATTTAAAACAAAATACGTGGATATCACACACGTATATATACACTACGCTAGTCTCATAAAAGTTTTTATTTCTTTTGAGCCTTGTTTGAATACACGCAAGTATAATTTCCTCCTGTTTGTGAGCTTTTTGTTCTTTATATAAATATATATGCCAAATTATTCCATGTTTCTTTTGAAAATGTTGAATTCGTTTTAGTTTGATGAAAGTTTTCCACCTCAACAATAACAAGTAGTAACGCCACCAGCAAAAAAAAAAAAAAAAAAAAAACACAAAAAAACAATACAAAACAAAAAAAACTGCAGGCCACCTTCAACCTAGTCCTCTAAAAATCGTTGCATCTAATCACTACAGACTTTTAATAGGAATTTACTCTAAACATTATTACACAGAATATTTATTGCTATTTTTTGCAAGTAAATATTTAATAAATAAATTTAGTCATTAATGCAGTAAATACACAGGTTTCATTAGAATGCTTTGCATGTAATTTCTCTTTCAATTACACTCTCAACTCATCTGGAGTATCTTTTCCTGATTTTCCACCTAGAACCGAATCTTTACTATGCGATATATATATATATATATATATATATATATAACTTCGTCCGTGGTTTCCCTACAAAATCATGCGAACTTGATAGTATCCCTGAAATTCCCTAAAGAAATGTGCTCATGAACTGGCTACTGCTCTCTCTAAGCTCTACAACTCTACTTTGCTGCTTCTTGCTTTCCAGCCTGTTGAAAATCATCTCATGCAGTTACCGTTTTTAATAACTTAGGTGAACCTTCAGATTCCTCGAATTATCGTCCTATTACTCTTCTATCACGTTTTGGCAAAGTACTAGAGGCTCTAATCGGTTAAACATATCCCTTCGCATGTTCTTCTTTCAGACAAACAATTCGGCTTTCGCTTCTCTAGGTTAACTGTGAACGGTTATCACCGAAAGTATCTGTCAAGCTTTAGATAAGAACGGCGATGCTCATGCTGTGGCTTTAAATATGTCGAAGGCGTTTTTGATATAGTTTGACATGCTGGCCTTCTTCATAAGTTCATAGACTATAGCGTCTCCAGCCAAATTCTAGAATTAATCCAATCTTTCTTATTTAGTTGTGTAATGAAAATCGTATTGAACAGCAACTCCTCTAGATCATTTCATATTAGTCCTCCTGGGCTCTATCTTTAGACCTACTTTTTATTTTCATCAATGATCATTTGGATGTTATTAGTTTCCAACACGATATGAAAGCTAATCTCGAAATGATCCTCAATCAGTTGCTATCTGGGACAAGAAATGGCTTGTAAATTTTAACACTTCTAAAACAAAAATAAACTTAGAAGACTATTTTTGCCTTGTATCAGAATGTCTGATGCCAACCTTCAGGAGATTAACTCATTATACCTTTTTGGTCTCACATCTCAAAAAAAGAAAACTAGTTTTTCTTTATTTACCTGCATCAGAAATGGGCAAAAATAGTTTTCAATATGCAACCAAGAGTGTTTTACGATTCATTAATAACCTTGTTATTTTGAATTTTCAACTTTATAGTAGCGAATAACATACTCATTACTTTGAATAAGAATATCTTTTATTTTTAATGAAGGTATCTTTATTGAATAAACGAATCTGTCCAATGGGTAAGGGTCTTTTTATTTTGAATTGCGGTCTCGTCTTTTTGAATAAAAGTTTCTTTCAAGTCAGCTGAAAGCGTGAGACCAAGATGGCGCAGTATGCTGATGGCGGTCAGGAAAGTTTCTCTATGATGGTTAAATGAGAGCAGTTTCGTTTTGGAGGTATTAAAATTTACAAATCATTTCCTGACCCAAATTTGTCAACTTTGATCGATTTGCTATTGAGACACTACTAAGAAAGTAGTATCATCAGTATAAATACCTACTTGGAAACTGATGACATCAGGAAAATCATTGACGAAAAGCAGCGTAGGACCCAGAATAGAGGATTGTGAACACCTGAGTTCGTGTGAAAGGATCTGAAAGCGAGCCTATTCAAAACAAGCTTCATTTCCCGATTTGATAGGAACGATTGAATTAAATCAAACAATCGTCCAGTAATACCGTATCCCTGGAGCTTACGTAGAAGATTAGCATGCCAAACCCTGTCAAACGCCTTTGAGATATCTAGAGCCACAGATCGAGCTTCGCCGTTGTTACCTAGAGCTTGATATATATATTCAGTGATGGTCGTTAGCACATCAATGGTAGACCTGGCAAAACGGAAGCCATATTATTTGTTAGAGAGTAGGTTGTGAGAGGTAAGATGCTTAACCACTTCAGCATCGATTAAAGCCTCGAATACTTTGCCGAAAGGCGATAGGAGACTAATAGGGCGATAGAGGGTCAAAAAGTTCTCCAGGGTTTTTAAAAGCAGGAACTACAGAGGAGGATTTCCAACAAGCTGGAAAACAAGAAGCAGCAAGGCAATAGTTGTAGAGTTTGGAGAGAACTGGAGCCAGCCAGGACGATGGCTGGGATCTCATCATCCCCACTTGCCTTATGGGAGTCTAATTTAGAAATGATGTCCGAGACTAGTGACGGGGTTATGTGCATATCACTCTGTAGATCCTTAGTTCTAAGGGAGAAATCAGATGTGGGTACTCCAAATGAATCGACTTCGAATCGACTAAACAGAGGAGGGATTGAGAACTTGTTGTTGTTCATCACACTCTTGCAGAGCCAGAGAATCAAAATTGTGAGATGATATACGTTGTTTCATTCTATCAGCAAGCAGTAACTTCGCTTCATTAAGGATACGCTTGCACTCGTTACGAGAAGAGACAAAGAGAGATCTGTTGCAAT